TTTGCTGCGGTGTGTGAAGGAACAGTCATTGTGAAATAATAATCTCTCGTAATGGGCTGGAGTGGAATGACGAGGAGGAAATAAACAGTCTGGAGAAAGTAGAGAAAGAAAGGAAACACTTCACTTATAAACTTTCTCTTTTGTGTAGGAGTGCAAAATGGTTAATGGATGACGGCTGGTTGGTTGGGTATGTGGAGAAAGTAGGAAGTTGAAAGGTTAATGTACACGATTTAAAGGAGAGAATTGGAGGAGAAAGCTAATTTATAACGGCTCGATTTTTTTAGGGTGGAAACCCGACTTTGGAAATAAATAGATGTGCACTGTTAGAAATCTGTTATTAACTTATCACGACCTGAGCAAATGTATCGCGTTACCGGCACGGTAATGATTGTTACTGAAAAATTCTACCACTGAGAAACACGCTATTTGCTTTATAGGAAATTATTACCAAGTCAGTCCCAGTAAGGAGTGTGTTTGCGACAAGATTTTGAACGGTGTATGGATCTGACTCACGTATCATCCTGATTATTCGGATTTTGCTTACCCGATTTTGGTGGATGGACGGAAGAAAATCAGTTACATACTCATAAGAATTTTCCGAATTCCACTTGGAAAAGAATGCAGTCACTGTTACATAAGTATGTAGTTTTGAGATACTACCGTTTTGCAAACTTTATGGATCGGTAAAAATTTTTGGCGAAGAGTGGAATGCAATGGGATAGTGATTTCGTAAAGTAGTGGAACTCGGCGGAATGGTAGGAGTGCCCTCTTGCCTCACTGGTGCTTGTAATGGGCGGAATAAATCTTGTTCAGAAACACATTCATTGCAAAAGTTGTACTTGGTCCGCCGGAGCCGGAAGAGATGAATGGCTGGACGGTGGGATCGTTTTTTCGGGTGAATGTGTCCGAGAAAACATTTACTTTCATTCAGGCCTACTTACTTTCGCACATTGACAAAGTCCTGTTCCCCGGTAAACTTGGGACTAACTCCATAAATGCGCATGTCTATGGAGAGGAGAAAGTATGGAACAAGGGGGTCTTCCAGTGTATGCTCTCCTATTTTAAAAAAAGTTAGTGTCAATCGGTCACAAATTTAGTTGGTATGAAATTTGCGAAAGATACGATCTCCCAATTGGCACGTTTGGCAGAGATATTTGCATCCGAAGAGGAGAAAGTGCTTCTTAAAGTCGACAAATTTTGCACTTTCCAAATTTACTGCCCATCGAATGCAAATATATCTGCAAAAGCACCTTTTTTGCCAAATCATGGCTTTTGCAAATATCATACTAATTTGTGATAGATTGACACTAATGTTGCCAAAAGTGGAGCTGAATCTACTGCTTATTTTCTCCTCCACGGATGCAAATATATGCCACAAACCTGCACATTGGGAGAAAGTGTCTTTTGCAAAAGCAATGTTCATCAAATTCTTGATCGATTGGCACTAATTTGTCCAAAATCAGAGAGCGTACGCTGGGGCACATCCCTTGTAAGTGGAAACGGTTATACAACATTGGGTGAAAAAAGATGGAATAAATGTGGATAATTCAGACTGGGTGAAAGTTGGACAAGTTTTTACCCGTAGAATAAAGTCATGTCGAGATTAGTAGGAATCTTGTCACCCAAATTTCCTACTTTGTCAGAAATTGGACATGATGCAGAGAGACACGATTTGAGATAGGGTTAATTAATCGGCTCCCCAAATTGGATCAGTTATGAGGAGGAGGACGAGGAGTAATCTGTTAAATTGGAAGGTTTTGCTCCCCACGGGGATCGCAGAAGGAGAAAGTAATAACTTATCGAGTTTACGGTCCCCAGAGAAAGTTGAGATTATTGCGGAGACTTTCTCTATCTCGCTAACGTACTTGGTCCCATTTCGGCAAGGTTTCTTATTTTTTGGAGGTTGTGGTTTTTTTGACAAATTAGTTTTGTTTTTTTGTTTTATGTTTCCTGGGATGAAACATGATTCAATCATGTTAATCTAAATTTAGTCTTTTATACAGTAAGTATTTAGGATTGGCAATTATTTGAAGGAGAAAGATTTGATTTAAGAAATATTCACAATTTTTGATGAATCTTAAGAATTCGGGAAGTAGAAAAATATCATGAGTGAAAGACACGTGCTTCTCAATTTTTTTTAATTTCCTGGACACCTTTCGTGCTAGTCGCAAAAATTAATTTGGAAACATTTACATTAATGAATACATGTTTCAGAATGTCTAGAATTCGCTATTTTTAGTTTTATCTGTGTATAACAATATGGGATTTTTTAACAGGTACAAGTTCAACTCGTACAAATTTTTACAATCAACTGAAAAATTTAGACGGGGTTGGAAAACTGTCGTAAATTGATTCAAGAAATCTGAAGTTAGATCGAGTTCCAACGTGTTTTTCGGTTTATGAGGAACGGAACCCTGTTTCTGATGTCCCCTTCTCCTCGAGAGATTTTGATCAAAGTGGAAAAAGTTGAGGGACGATAATTTTGATTGAGATTAATCAATTCCTGGAAAAGATGTGATTGAGGATCAAATGTCGGTTGCAAGACGAGAAGCAAAGTCCAAACCAATTTGTCTCAAACGAAGAGAGAGAAATAAGAAAAATGGATGCGATCATTTATAAAGTTTTGACGGAAAACTGTTCGAATTTTGATGGACTGTCCAGGGCAATGAAGTTATCAATCAAGTTGTTAAACACACTCTAAATAAAGTTTGGATGGTACAAATCCCTTTGTAAAACTTACATGTCAAATATTCACTCAACTTTGAGTAAATTTTGCCCGAAATATGGATGATAAAAGGTTACATGAGAAGTTTTGTATGCATGTACATAATCTAAAATGTTACTTAACTTGGATGGTGTAAATTCTAGACAAAGTTTTTAGAGTGTAGAAAAATTAAGACTCCCAACCTCAATTTTGCAAATATTTGTGATTAAAGGTTTCTCTTATTTCTGGTTTCGTTGAACAGTGAGGCTTAAGAATTCTAGGAATTACTTACATATCTGTACTGAAGCAATTCACGAAGTTCTATGTAAAATTCGCTAATATTGTAAAATGATTTTCCCAACTTTTACAAAATTAAGAAACAACCTTGATGTGAGAAAACTTACAGAAATGCATGGCCAAATTTTCCTTAGAAATATTTGTAAAAGTTTCCACATTTACGGATTTTACAAAGCTACCAAGGACTGCGAGAATTACTTCAATGACTTGTCTCAGATCAGTGATCTGTCATCATTCAAAATTTAAAAGTGCAGTTTTTTAAAGAAAGTTGACAAAATAGAGGCGTTACATAACCCTTAATTTTTGACAAAATGCTTTCTCCAGTCTGATTTCTCTTCCGCTCCAGAGTTTCCGAACACTATGCCCGTCCTCCAAAAGCGGAGTTACATAACTCACATTTTTTTCCACATCTTTACAAAAAAAGTCTCATTTAAATCAAGGCAGCTATCACTTGACAGATTTATTTTTGCATGTTTTTGTACCCGGGTATGTATCTATCTATGTAAATGCGGGGGCCCTGTTTTAATTGTGGAGCTACACATAGAGACGTGACACGACATGATTTCAGACTTGAGAAGAAGAAGTTTAATTAAAATTTGGACTGAAGAGAAAGCCTGTGTCTTCATTTCGTTTCGTGAGTGTGTGTTCGAACCAGGGATTAGTTTAAGTTTAAGAATGAAGAGATCTTTCTGCTGGTGTGGATGCGATAAAGAAAGTTAAACCGCAAATGACTTATTGCAGTCACAGGGAAAGCGGAAGAAAGGAAAATCCAGTTTGGAAAGCGTGTTAGAAGGATTTTAAAAAATATGTAAAGAGGAGAAAGCGCAGATAGGATTTGGAATTAAGAAAGTAAAAAATAGAAAAATTGTTTATGCAAAGAAGAAAGTCAAACAGGAAAGGGAAAACTAGGCCGAAAAGTAAGTAACTTTTTGGGGCAGGGGACGTGCACGAATTAACAATTTGGGGATAAACTTCGTAAGAGGGAATGAAAATAATTTTCATGAATTTTCAGGAGTTTTCATGAATTTTTTACATGTGGAGGAAAAGTGGTTTATTCAAACAATTAAGGGATACGTACGTTCAAGACGGGTTGAATGGTCGCCTAATTTGCACTAATTGTCGCAGTAAATACCTTCTGGTCTGTAATTGTGAAGCAAATAAGGAAGTCTTGTAGGACGTTAATGGACAATTAAAGTGGACAATTAAAGTGGGCATTGGAAAGTCCCGTTTTCATTTAAATTGGGGACATTATTGTGACAACAATATTGTCGAGGTAGTTTGACCCGGAGTAAAGATTCGTATCGTACGGGAGGAGGAGAGGAAGTGGAGAAAGTAGGAGCATGGAAATTGTAGTGATCTCCGTGATCGAGTAATGTGCACTAAAATTGGGCTTAAAGGTTTTACGCAGAGGAAGGGGAGCAACAAATAGTATGTCAAGTTTTTTTGAAAACCGAATTTGTCCAATTTTCGAAGATGATTAGGCCCAAAAATTTTAACAATTCAAAAATATGCATAATTAGAAATGCAAATACTTCCTGGATAGTACAGAAATCGTGGAGAAAGCAGGAAATTTCTAGTGAACTCGTTGATCAGTTAATGTACACTCTAATTGTGCTTAAAGGTTTTACAAGAACAAGAGCAACAATTGAAATGTCAGGTGTCAGGTTTTAGTGCAAAATTATTTTTGCACGCGACATTTATTAGATTTAGAAGATGGTTCTATCCCTAAAATTTTACTAATGAAGAAATATGTGCAAAATACATACACAATGTAAAATTTAGGCTTGAGCAGTAAATCCACTTTGCCACTTTCTCCAAACTGCGGTGGAGGAGAAAGCTTCTAAAATTATTGAATTACAACCTCATTTCCTAATTTAACTACCTTTCCTACATAATAACCCGCACTTCCGTTGGCGGGGAAAGCAGCAAAATTATCGAAATTGAATTGTTTTCGCTTCAACTTTCACTTTACGTACTTTCTCTTTTCCCCTTGTTTCAGGTCCGGAACCGAAAGTGCGTCCCGTCGTGGTGTACATTCACGGGGGCATGTTTTCCTGGGGGAGTGGAAACTTGTCGGACGGCACGGTCCTCGCTGCCTATGGTGACGTCGTCTTCGTCTCGATAAATTATCGGCTCAACGTTCTTGGTAAGAAATGATAAGTGAAAGTTAAGATTTTCAAAAAAGAAAGGGCACTTCTAAAAATAATGGCAGCGTTTTGAAAGTAAATCCACTGTATTTAACACATATGTAGCCGTACCGTGAAATTTGCGGGCGTGGTATGTTCTTGGGTACCGGGTCTTTTCACAAATCTAAGACATAATTTTTTTTAATTTCAATTAGTTTTCACAATTTTAAAATGTTTTCCAAATTAAAAAAATATTCATGTCAACAAATTGCAAACTTTCAAAGAAATTAATAATTTTGATCAAATTAAAAAAGGCATAATTTCAAAAATCTTTTCAAAATTAAAAAAATGCTTAATTGCAAAGGCTAATGCCAACTAAAAAAAATTCATGGTTTCAACAAGTTGCAAAATTATGCGTTTTTTAAATTTTTGAAGACCAAGTCCCGTGTAACATGAATTTGATAAAGCGTAAAGTTTCTTTTGGATTTAGTATAGTTCTCTTAATTTAGAAAGAGTGCATTTACATTTTATAAGGGTTACATTATTTTTAAGAGTGTAATTTGAATGTGTATTCCTAGGTTTTCTAAATGTCCACGCGATTCCGAATTCGAAGCCACGTGTCGCCAATTACGGTTTGATGGATCAAATTGCAGCGTTGAACTGGATTAAGGAGAATATTTTTAAATTTGGTGGAGATCCTGGGAACGTGACGTTGTGGGGATATGAATCTGGAGCGGCGTGTATTCATTATCTTATGACGTCACCGGCAGTTACGCCAGGTGGGTTTACATGTTTGCGATTTAATATGTGACGGCTTGTTTTCACTAATAATTTATTTAAATTTCTGCAAAACTATTTAGAAAGAATAAGGTAAAATCTTAAATAGTAGGACCTACTGTTCACTATTTACTGACCTACTGTTTACTGATATTAATAGTCTGAAAAAAATCTGAGAGGTTTCCTGGCAGATAATTGATATTATTTTCCAAAAACCAAATAACCTCTCAGAAAAATTTCCAAGGAATTGAGACTATTAATATCGGCTGAACAGTAGTGTTTCAATTTATTCTGAACGAGGATGATAAAAAAATTTTCCACAGACCTATTGAGGAGAGCTTTGACGACGACGTTATAAAAAAAATCATAGTTTTTTAAAATAAATTTAATTGAAACAGGGCTTGCCAACTTAGTAAACATATTTAGTTCGTAAAAAAATTTAAAACTACTTCGACCGTGTGAGCTTATTTTTATGTATTTCAAAAATTCTAAAACTGTTTCTCAGGTTTGTTCCACCGTTCAATTTTGATCGCGGGTTCTGCCCACGCGCCCTGGGCTCTCGTATCAGACCCAACCTCCTCCGCGACCGCGCTCGCTGAAGCGCTCAATTGCTCCGTCCCAACCGCAGCGCCTAGCGCGACAAATAGCACGACATATCCGGTTCTCCTGCCAGTCTTCTCGTCCAGGACGGATGGTTCGACAATTAAGCAGCCAAAGGAAGACCCCATCTTCGAATGTGTCAAGAATAAACATTTCTCAGAATTTGTGGGGTTTGCCTCACCAAAATTTGCAGTCGATTTTGGACCCAGCATTGATGGAGTTGTGATCAAGCCAAATTTTAGGGTGCGTACTAGAAGATTATAATTTTATTGAATTTTTTTCTAAATAAACCGCTTGAATTTATTCCAATTTATCATTATCAGGATTTATAATATTCAATTACATATCTGATTTAAAATAAAATGACAAGGCTTTACTTTTATTGGCCGTCAAGATAGAAACTAAGCCAGGGCCTGTCTTCTACCATCTTCCTGTCTCTTTTTTGGAAAAATAGTTTAATAAAGTTTAAAACTTATAAAATTGGGGATACTCATGTCGGTTTCTTCTGGATTTTCGTTTACAGGCAAGCTCAGAGTCTCAAATGGGGAAGAGGGACGCTGCTAAAAAATATGATGTGCTCTTTGGACTCTCGTCCCTCGAGAAGATGACCGCGTTTAGTGAGGTAAGTGAAATATTTATAAATCGTACATGCACAGTACTCAGGACACTAATTTAGGCATACATTTACATATTTGACCAAAGATATACATATTGTGTCTACTAGTCATTCAAATTAAGTGGGAATAAAGAAAAAGGAAAGGTTATCTGGCAGATTATAAATTTTCAGATTTTAACCTTTGAGAAAAATTTGAGAATTTTTGCCTGGAAGAATTGTCGATTTTAGAGGGAAAGATTTCTGGGGATTTGTTTTTTGCGAACAAATTCAGTACTGAAGTTTCCGGAGATTTTTAGATAAAGATCAGTAAAAATAGTGTGTAAACGTAGGCAAAAAGTTGCTTTTCGAATTCACACAATTGTTCTTACCAGTCTTAAAATTCAGGTTGACTTTCACCTTCTCATTTCTCTTAAAGATTTTAATTAAAAGGCGGCTGAATCCCGCTGAGAACTTAATTGACATTGTGATTACCCTGTAAATTCGTGTAGAGCGATCTCACCTCTGGCTTCGAGGGGGCCCGACGTGACGCCATTCTTCGAACGCTGGTCCGGAATTCGTATCGCTTTCACCTCAATGAAATCCTCGCCGTTATTTCGAACGAGTATTCGTTGGATTGGGAAAAGTAAGTGCACCCTAAAAAATTCCGTTACGATTATAACGAAAACACACATGACTCTACTGCCATGGTTATAAATTTGCTACCAATCGGTCATAAATTTATTTATCACCACTTGTATTAAATTTGTTGCCAAAAAGTGTATTTTATAATTAGACCCTTTTCTTCATAAAAAATGTATACAAAAAAATGTATAATTTTAAAATACAAATCATAGTAGTGATAGATTTATAATTTGATTTAATTTGATTTAAACCTTTATTCACGTGTTAATAGTTATCAGTTTAAAAAACTGGTTCAAAAACTATGACACAAAAAGATATAACTCTGTAATTAACCTAAAATAAGAATAAAATCACTTCATGTAGATAACATAGAATATTGAATCTGAATAACAAGTTCAAATTGAACAGTTGAAAAACAAACTATTAATCAAATTAGAGTACCGAATTATAACCAAGGCAAACAATCCATGTCAAATAATTTTGGTTACCCAATACCACCGTTTTCCAACATGCTAATGCAAATTAAATACTTGCACTTAAAATCTATAGTTGTAAAGTACATATCTGAGAGTTGATCTCGTAACGGGTTCAATACTTTCACTAATTTAAGGAGTACTTTTTTAAACTCAATAGCCTTATAAAACACAATCGTATTAAAGGACTTACTTTTAAATATTGGAACACAAGTGGGGCACGCCCAGTTTTTAGAAAGAAATATTTTACAATAAGAATAATCGGACATGGAAACATTGCAAATATTCTTGTGAAAGAAATTAAAACAGTAAATACACTGGAGCATTCCATCTCTCCAGGTAAAACCCTCAGAATCAGAAATGTCATCTTTAAAAAGAAAGTTGTAGATGGTTCCTTTATAGGTGAAAATACTCGCAAGGTCATAAATTTCTTGGCCACAAAGATGACAGTCGGGTCCCATTTCGTTCTCACCATCGTCGTACATGTATTTGGCCTCAAAAACGCTGTTGATCTCAGCGTTCTCATCGTCGGAAGATTTTCCAGGCAGGATGATATTGTATGTGGAGGACTGGGTTCGAGAAATGGCGTCAACCAGAGCCTTCATATTGAAAGGGCCGAGGGAAATACTCGATAGTTCCAGTCATCATCAATCCAATTTCCAAGCGGTGGCCAAGTCCATCTCAGGAAGGATAAGAGAGAAAACTTTTTTAGGGCGATGTTTAGCAAAAAGGAGAAGATGTCAAGAATTAAATAATGAATTAATTGACTTGCCGGGCCTTACCGGGCGGGTATGGTTACTGCTGTAGAGGTGTATTACGCACCAAGCAGAACCACACCCAGTGGCTTATTTCCCAAAAGAGGGGCTGTCGAAATTCTTGTCCCCCAGAATGAATGGATGATACGTTGCAGTCCAATCCTACAGAAGATTGGGAAGGGGAGAGTCTACTAGGCAGGAAACGAGGGGAGTCCAGTTGATGTGGAGTAGGTAGCACCAAAAACACGGCAAAAGGACGGTCAGCCACGGTCAAGATGAAAACCTTCATCTACCACTGTCGAAATGGGTTTAATGGGAAGAAGTTGACACCGATTGCAAAGTTGGGAGTGCCCAGGAACTCACAAATTTTTGCAAAACAAAATAATCGAGACAGAGTAAATACGTATCTGTCCACCAGCTGAATGATTCACGCATTCACATAACCGGTTGGTGACAAATTTATAACTATATGTAGATTCGTATTTAAATGTTTACTTCCTGGTTATAATCGTAACCATATTTTTCAGAGTGTGGAGAAAAAGTGAAGGAGAAAGTGGAGGAGAACGTAATTAATTTATTGCAAAAAATTCGCAGATCTTCCGAGCATCCCATAGCGACGAGAGATTTGACGGTGAACGCGTTGACGGACTGTCTCTCACTCGCGCCTGTAATAGCGATCCCCGACTCGGGCCAAGTCAATCGCGGATTTTTCTACATTTTCGAACATGCCACGAAGGACAGCAACTACAATTATTTCAGTTCACAAGGACAGGTAAGTGCAGAAATTAATTATTTTTTTGCAAAATATTTGCACATGGTTTGGAAGTACACACATTTGTACTTACTTATGTAAATTTGGTTCTGCGTCTAGTCTACGATTATTTTTGTGAAATTTAAGAAATATTTGCATATTTTAATGCGTTTGTATTTAATTTCAAGTGCAAATTTACTTCAATTTACTATTTTTTGCTAAATATTTTCTCGAATTTTGAATGGTTTTTGCTGTAATGCATTTGTACTAGGCAAAAATTGATTTTAGAATTAGTCAGCTATTTATTTGCGGCGAAATTCGCGAAATATTTGCATACGTATTATGTATACTCGAATATTTATGGTTTAGGGCAATGCATTTATAGATTACTTTACGTAAAATTAAATACTAGTGGATTAAATCCACATATTTTTATACTTCGCGAAATATTTGCACATGGTTTTTGTGGTAATGCATTTATGTATACTTAACTCATATCATTTGTGTTTTTAGACAGAAGTTCCGTGGTTTTGCGGAGATTACATTTGTATTTGGAATAATCGGATTTGCGTTGAGCGAACAATTGTAATAGTTTATGGGAATTTTGTAAATGGGTTGAAAGCGGATTTGCGTTGCATAATCCGGAACGAGCAGAGTTTTAAGCCGTATTTATTCCGTTTGAGCTTTTTGCTTACTTACTTTCACTCAGCAAAGAACGTGTGTGGAGAGAGGGATGTGGTTTGTGTAATGTTTATTAACGAGGAAAATTCGAAAAGTAGTTGTGGTCGGGGGAACGAAACGAAATAGTAGGGAAAGTTGGGTTGATTAGTGTTTAATATTTGAGCAGGGTACACTCTTAGAAATAGTGGTAACATTTTTGAAAAAGGCAAACCACTTAAAACTTTATATTAAGCAGACTACGAAATCCAGGGTAGACAAGCTTGATAAAGACTAGGTTAACTCCGGATGTAGTACAGTTTAGTTAATATAAAATTCTTAGGGGATTTGCTGTTCAAAATGCTTACGCTATTTTCAAGAGTGTAAGTTTGTGTGAGGAAAGGTCCAGGAATTTTGAGTGAGTGAGAGGCCTCACTAACGGAATGGTTTAGGCTTAAAAATAGAAAGCGAAAAGTGAAAGTTTAAACCTCAAATGGTATTTTGCAGACCACAAATGTGCGGAAAATGCTTGCTCGTTACATTACATGCAGAAAAGAGGGGAAAGTGGAAGGTTTAATTGACAGAATTCAAATCCGGAATGGTTTTGTTTTTTTGGGAAAGCATGTATTGGTTTATTTGTTTAAGTGAGTGATTTTTAAACCGGGATTTAATAGTGTGCCAAACGCAAATTTTTAGGAAACACAAGTCAAACTATTATTCTTATTTGAGTGACAGAAGGACTGATTTTTGGTTATCTTGATTTAAATTTTGAAGGATTGTACAAAATGAACGACCCCAAATAAATAATTTTGTACAAATATGGATGGACACAACCCTAATCTTGAGTAGCTAGGTTTAAAACATTATCCCATTTCTATGACTTACTAATAAAAATGATCCTCTTGAATATTTCAGCGGACTGGTGGCGTTGGAGGGGAAGAGTTGAGCTACATGTTTGGGACCCCACTGGTGGACGCGTTGACCGGCCACGTGCTCCCCTTCATTCCTCCACCGGCCATTACCAACTACACCAAGGCGGAAATGGCCCTGTCAGAACTGTTCATCACCTACCTGTCAAATTTCGCACATTCTGGGTAAGAAAAGATGGTTTCAGTTTGACATTCGTGTTTCTGCCAAAAGTGAAAGTACACGGGAGGTGTTTCGCACTCCTAAAAATGATGTTACCCTTAATTTGAAATTGACGTAAATCCAATTAGAATTTTTTGTGGAGCAAAGCTTATTGAATCAAGAGTACCGCAAACTTGATAACGAGTAAACTTTAAGCTGGATTTTGTATAGTTTAATTAACACAAAATTAAGATTATATTTGCCTACTTTTCAAAAGAGTGACATTATTTCAAAAAGTGAATTTCTTCAAACTTAGGGATCCAAACGAGCCCTTAAAGGGAGAGATCACTTGGCCCGTGTCGAAGGAGCGTAATCGCTATAAAAGCAGTCCGTGGGAAGGGTACGATCGCCTGCATCAAAAATATTTGGAAATTTCTGTCAACAAAGTGAGAACGCGGAGTCACTACAGGGCACATCAGATGTCCATTTGGCTCAGGTAAAGTTTGGAAATTTTTGCAATTTTTTGATCATTTTTGCTCTCATTTTAAATTCATGGTAACCTTTATTCGAAATTTGTGTCTTGCAGACTGGTTCCCGAACTGCAGAGAAGTGGGGCTCAGTCCGCGTCTGGCTTGCATAACAGGATGAAAGGGGGAAATGATCCATCTCTCTATGTCGGAAAGTAAGTTGATGCATTGTTTCGTATATTTGCATAAAATTCGCCACCTATTTATGTAAATAAGTTTTAACTTTTCATAATTTGCATGTTTCGATGGACAATTAACCCATGCAATTACTGAATCTATAAGAAATATGATGAATGTAGCTACAAAATTAAATGTTGCATAATTTTGAAAGTCTGATACATAAAGCAAATATTTGCACGAGATTTTTTATATATGAAATGTAATTTTTGTTGGAAATTCTTTGCCAACCAGAGAGAAAGTTTACTTATTTGGGGAGTGAAAGTAGCACAAAATGTGGAGGGTTTTTTTATTATTGGTCCAACACTGGTCACTTGGTTGGTTTAGTTTTGGTCGGGGAGTTTGGGAAAAAGCTGGCTGGGAAATGAAATCCCCGGAGGGCAAGACATTCATGTTAACGGGAGCGTAAGTACGAATCGGAACTTGTGAATCTTCTACATTTTACTGTTTTAAGTATTACGTGGTTTGGTCTGGTGGATCCAAAAAGTGAAAACTGGGTTTTGGCAGGATGTTAGGTAACAATAAGTAAGCATAATTAGCTAGAGAAAGTAAAATGAAAGGTAGATACCAATTAGGACCTTGTTATTATGTAATTTTTAGCGGTTTACAGATGGGCAAGTTTAATTAGGTCCCTTGGTACAGGTGAAAGTAGACATTTTATGTTGAGTTGAACAGCCTAAAAACTAGAGGAAACTGTACTACTCTGCTGTAAGCCCATGCAAATTAAATTTTCATGGCTAAATTTTCATGATCTCGTATATGTAGATAAAGGACGATTATTTATTTCAACCACTTTGAACTTTAATTTCTGAGTTTTTGACGACAAGTACGAAAAATCCGCTTTTTAACATTCATCGGCGTAGGGAAAGCTTCAAAATTTGGGAAGAAAAATACGAAAACGATCAACTTTTACCATGGAGTTTTCCACAAAATACTGAGGAAATCAGAATTATTTAATATTTTGTTTGATATTTGATCAGAAATTTTTGGATAAGAGTAATTTATACAGTACAGTTCATGCAGATTTGTATGTATTTCGGCACAACTGGCAAAAAAATACTACACAATATCGTATTTCGTCGGTAAGAGGTTAATTATTGAAAAAATGTTTGCCAGACTGCGCCACCAACTGGAAGGGGACGATCCACTCACGATCCTGGACATCATGGGGTATCGCGGCTTCGGTTTGGATGGCCTGCTCGATTCTGGCGGAGGTGTGCAAGAGGAGAGTTCGCTCAACTTATCGGCAAACCCTCCCGCTCCACCGACCACGTGTTTCTCTCCGCTGGCGGCGTCATCCTCGCCATCTTTGGGGGGCAAGGGGACCGGAGGTGAGGGGAACAATTCGTCAACGACACGACGAGAACCTGTGGGAAGTTCGTTTTTCGCACCGTACTCGACCGCTCTGTCTGTCACCATAGCGATTGGTAAGCGAATAATAATTGATTGTTCCTTAGTAAAAATCAGTTTACCGAATTCTGCACTAATCGGCAAAATCTCAGTTCATGTAGAGTTCCGCAAATTTGTTCAACACAAATCTGCAGATAATTTCTGTGGGTATGAATCTGTAGAATTGCATGTGCCAAATTATTTGTAGCTCTGCAAACATAGTTCTCTGCACACATTTCTATTTTCAAAATTTTATGCAGAAAGCTGGCAAATTTGATGCAAAATAAATTTCCACTCGACATTGGAAAATACGGTGTACATACTTTCATTTCCAAGTACAAATAATTTTGCAAAATCAAAATATTTAAATACAATGAGGGATTTGTAAGCCATCTTTACCAGTAGTCCATTTGTAACCATGCCATTTTGAAATTAGTCCAAATTTACTGACACCCTTGTAACAGAGGGATCAATAAATCTTGCACCTTTAATTTACAAGGTTTCGCATTGATTTCTGAATTCATAAATAGTTTGCACAATTCGTTCTAGTTGGAAACTTTGCATGCATTGTGAAAGAGAAAGTAGACCAGGTGAAAGTTGGAATTCATTTACAAGGCAAATTAATTCCAACCATGTCGACCCGACTCGAAGTCAGTGGTTGGTTGGTTAGTGAAAGCGGGTGAAAGCTGCACTGTGGGATTTTTAATTAAAAAAATAATTACAGATTTGCATTCCTACCTACTTTCTCTTTTCCTTCTTAGGTTGTTCCCTCCTCATCTTAAACGTTTTCATTTTCGCGCTGGTTTATTATCACCGCGACAAGAAGCGCGTCTCCTCCGTCGCGAAATCCGGGTCACAGAACTCACAGCTCCAAAACTGCTCCAAATATGGGGAACCTCCCGAGCTGTTGAAGTCAAATTCTATGACGACCACGTGTTCCACGGTGTCCCATTGTCATGGAGGAATGTCGCCCATTTCGTCGTCGACGAATAGTGGGGGCGACGGAGGGTTTAAACATTATCATCAAAATCAGGCCCAGTTGGCGCAAGAGGCTTTGGCGCAAAGGGGAATTTTGCTTTCACCCAGCCAAGCCGGCCAGCAGTATGGGTCACGTGACTATTTGGGATACAATGGAGGAGGTGGGGGCACGATGGGGATGGCGACGCTGCAAAGAAACAGTAATGGGGGAATTGGCGGGGTTCCAAAACCACCCCCACCGCCGAGAAGTTGTGTCGGGTCGACGCTACAACACAGTAATTCTGTCAGTTTTTCGAGCAATTATGACGAGCTGAAGGTTTGAAAGAGAAAGTAATTTTTTCTGAGCTTAGAACTTGTGAAAAGTAAGCTAAGCATAAAATTTTGAATCAAATTTTCTATCTTGTAATCACTTCTATAAAATTAATTGATCGGAGTGAATGAACTCTTAATATCAGACGGATAATCCAAATTTTAACTCATAAATTATGCTCAATAAGTGAAAGTATCGATTGATTGTATTGTGAATCAATTATTAATTGGAAATCTGTGGAAATATGTAATATTTACCAATTTGTAAGTATCGTGTACCTTATAAAATTCGCATTAGTTTTTCGATTATGGTATGTACATTAAAATTAGACCCAATTTTTTATTAACTTCTTATTAAGAATTGGGTCTAATTATAAAAAACTACCATAGTGTAAATTGTTTCCCTCTTGCCACCAACCCTGCATGAGTTTATAATACTGTTAATAAATGTTTACGATTTAATAAAAATTTCTAAGATTTATATCCAAAATTGTTGTACATACACTCTTAAACATGAAAAATTGTATACGTGAAACATGTGAAACTAATAAATAAATAAATAAAATAAATAAACAAGAGAAAGTTGTTCCTTGTTCCCCGGATTGAATTATGTTTAGTGGATTTCGCGAGAATTATTTGCCAATGGAGTGAAACTGAAAGTGAAAGTGGAGACGTTTTTGGGATATTTATTTATTTTTTGGAGAGTCGAGGAGTCGAGTGGGAGTGGTGGCTGGCTGCATTTGTGGGTAAGTAAGCATAAATATTTATGGGGCGCAGAAGAGAAGCAGTGAAAGCACGGCTTACAGTTTAGCATATATTGGAGATGGAGAAAGTAGGAGAAAACAACTCGCTGCGGCTTGTTTACTCTGGTTGACTACTCGACTTGTTGTCATGTACGAGGGACTGAAGGAGGTTCTTTTTTTAATTTTTAAACTTTTTTTGGAGAAAAGTAGAGGAAGGAGAAAGTGCAAAGCTAACTTTTGAAAAGACAGAATTCTTGCCGCGGGAGGGATTCGGAGAAAGTATTCGTTGCAAATTTTAAATGGAACATGTTATCCGTTTGTGCTAAAAATGAAATCTGGGTAAAAGAATATTTTAATTGCACACTACAAAATTAAGGTATTTTTTTGCAAGTCTTAGATTTTTTGTTTGTGCTAGAAATATTTAGAATCTGCATAAAGAATATTTTAAATTTTCACTTTCAAGTGTCGCAATTTCTTCGGAAATTTTAAATACTGCATGTTATCTGTCTTTATTTTAATTGTACACTATAAAATTGTGGGATTTCCTATCTCGCTTTCTCCTGCATAATATTATTATTTTCAGACAAGACAAGCCAAGAAGGAAGACAAGGTTTGGATGGAAAGCCATGTTTTGCATGAATGAATCTTGACTTGAATCCTGACTTTGGAAGAGAAAGCTGGAAGAGAGAAAGCTCACTTCGAGAGCGAAGCACAGTAAAGTTGTCAGGCTTTCCGTGTTTGTTATTCCAGTTTTGCTGGAGGGAGAGAAGAGAAAGAGAGAGAGTTGTGGTTTAACTTTTGAATCTCGGAGGGAACGTGCATATGTTACGTCATCAAAAATATGGATAAGTGGTTTTGGATTGCCTATCTTACTCGTGTTAAGCTTAGCAAAAGTAGGGCAAGGAAGGGGTAAATCGACGATGCAAACATTGACGTTTTTTGATGACGAAATATATGTACGTTCCCCGAGTGAAAGTAGGAAGGACGTAAACTAGACGAGATCAAGAGAGAAGAGGAGCGGAGAAGGAGGATGATTGTCTTTTTGGTGACGAATAATAATAATAATATAAGGCGAATAAATTTATGAGGAATTCAAGTCCCTCACACACACCGGCAATATGAATAATATAATGGGGAACAAGTGAGCTTTTGGTGTTTGGTAGAATTTGAAATTTTGAATAGCACACTCTTAGAAAATTGGTGGCAAATCATTTTACTCACCGCATTACATGAAAATTCTGTCCGAAATATATGTGAACTGCCAATAAACTATTATTAAATTATTACCGAGATGAATGTATCTAGGACCCCACCGCCAATGGAAATAAGGGACGATTAGTAACGTTGTTTTACTGAAAAATTGATCCGTGAGAAACAAAAGTATAACTAATCCGGTACGAAGTTATTACCAAATCAGTACCAGGGCAGAAAATATTTGTGAATCTACCAACTACCAGGTATTTAACCGTTTATGAGGAATATAATCGGAGAAAGTGAGCTTCTTCATTTTGCGGAATTTGAAATTTTACGTTTCTCTAAAAGTTTAGAATTTTTTCAGAAACAAGCTACTACCAATTCGGCACTAAATTGTTACCAAATCATTACCAGTACGGAACATATACATACTTCGCTCTACCAGGCTTTTAACCCAGTATGAATAATATAATGGGAGAAAGTTAGCTTTCTTATTTTCCAGAATTTGAAATTTTGCACGGTCCTTACATACACTCGCTTATCTGAAAGTTAAGAATTTTAGGGCAGAAAATTGGTTTTGTTACATATGTACATAAATCTATTGGCAACTCTGTAAAAGCAGCGACCCAAGGAGGCCCGGCAGAAAATTGGTGAAAGTGGGAGAAAGCGAAAGCATAAAGTGGGACAAAATTTTAGCCGTAAAGTAAATATTATTATCCGAGAAAGTCGTCGTCCTTTCTCTTCACTTTAGTAGCCAGCCAGCCAGTCCTCCTGCTCCCAGATGACTAATAATAATCGGAACCAAGAGGAGGAAGAAGCCTTGTGCAGAAAGTAGTCGTCGGTTTGCACATTACTTTCACTTAGCTGAGGGCAAAATGCTTGTTCATTCTTTGGTGATGGATGTTAGAGAAGTATTTCATTTCATGAATAATTCACAAAGTGAAGAAGAAAATACTTATTTCCAATGTGAAGCAAATTTTGTGTGCAGAAAGAGAGAGAGAGAACCACCCACCCACCAAGCATAATGTGCAAGTTAGAAATGTTTGTCATGGATCTTTTTTAAAAGATAAAAGATCAAGTAACTTACAATAAAGAACGGCTATGGTTTGTATTTTAAAATTAGACCTTTTCGGCATGTTTTATATGATGAAAAGGGCCTAATTATAAAATACAAACCTTAATACGATACTTCTTCAGAATTCACAATTTTAGGAAGGTTCAAAGTTGACAAAAACGAGCATTTTTACCATGCCACACTTGGCGTGCCACACTCTTCACACAGATTTGCATAGTTAAAATACACGATTTTGCCAAATTAGATGCCCCGAATTCTAATTAATTGCTTATGGTTTGATTTTTTTATACTAAGAGACTGCCCGCCTTGTAAGCTTTACATATAAAAAAGTCTCTTATTTAAAAAATCAAACCATAACTGCCACACGAACTTTTGTATCTGTTTTGTTACTTCATTTTTAGTCCTGGTTTTAACAAAATCCGTGACAAACACATGTGACTTGTGCCTTGTCCCTCGGCCGAGAAGGTTGTATTTAGGAGCCGATTTGAGAATAGGAAAAGTGAAAGGAGAAAGGAAAGCAGGTTTTGAATGGAGGAGAAGAAGAAGAAGAAACTAAATGCATGCGGTCTCCTCGTCAACGGAGAAAGGAGGAGGTTCTGGTGAATTAACGAGCAACATTCATCAATTTAGCCGTACACATAAATATCCACGAGCAGAGTGAAAGTACAGAGGCGAGGAGGAACCGTATGGCTCGTCTCGTTTGTCCATCGCTTTCTCCACATTATTCGGGATGGGAATGATCTTTCATGGCCCGGTTTGGGAAGGATTTTTGTGGAGAAAGTGGTACCTGAATAATTTTGAAATTGGGTGCGTCAAGGAGTGGGAGCAATGGAAATAAAAAGGAGCAAAACAAATGTAAGAATAGGGCGAAACAAGTGAAGTGCACAAAAATTGTGTGATCGGATGAACAGACAGACTGACATACGAACGGAGAGACAGACGGACAGACAAATATACAGACGGACAGACAGATATACAGATGGACAGACAAATATACAGACAGACCGACAGATATACCAAAGGATGGAACGACAAATTTATGGACAGACTGACTTACATTTTAACAGACGAATAGACGGACAGACAGATCGCCGGACGGACAGACCGACAAATTCTTTGCTTAACGAACTTTTACCCCATAATAAAAATCCTCTTCTGTAAGTTGAATATTATTATTAGGAAAATTCAGTAATCTAGTAAAAGGGTGTTGCTCTTCATACTTATTTGTGGAGAAAGTTGAGGCCTGTTTATTACACGAGTTTGTGGCTGGGTTAGCCAAGTTTTATTTTATTTTATGACGCAGCAATATCGGAAAGTTTGACGATGTTTCTCCCACTTTCTGGCCATAGAATAAATCTCAGAGTTGGTTGAATTGGTCATCTTTTGAGTACGTAAGAGTCACAATAAGTGGAGAGGAGACGCTCAAGTGTCATCATTTGTGACGAGTGAACCGCCACTTGGGAGGAAATGACACTTACCAAGTTTTTTGTTGGTTTAGTAATAAAAAAGCTAAGGATGGGGGAGACGACGTGGTTTTGCGATATGAAAATGGTGGTTCGTTGTGGACATGATGATGGACATTTACTTGGAGTAAAGAGAACATTTTGTGGTGTTTGCTTGGTATCATTTTGTAGGAAGTATAAGCTTGTAAGGATACTATTTCGTTCAGGGAAGGATTAATAATTTCTGGGAATGTATGGCTTCAAAATTTTCTATTTTCACTTTTTGGAGTTTATTTAAAATTTGAAGGAACAAATCAATTTGCAGATACCTTGAGGCAATTCACATGAGAGTTGTAACCTGAAAATTTGAAAACTTAGTGAAATAATTTTACAAAATGTTGCAAACGAATAAGACCTCTTTGACCATTTATCTTAGACTACCTATTTATTTAATTTGCAAAAAAACTTCGAAATTATTTTTTTGTAAAATTATTTCTAAACTTTTGCAAAATTTGTAACTACTTAAGTGCAAAGAATTTAAGAATTTTACAATGATTCCAAGGCCGGTGTGAATTGTTTTGTCCGCCAATTTTTATAATTTGTCAGAAATGGGTTGAAAATAAAGATTTTTATATTTTGTCTCAAATTTTAAGTTAAATATCTTACAAGGGACACTCACGACCTGTCGTTTGAGTCCAGGGTACCCACTATGTTTTTTAGAATCTACTAGGACCCCAGATGAAGGATTCATTCATATTTCTGTGTAAAACTCATATTTGGCGCCATGGCGTGGCGCCAAATTCGCCAAATCTGATGGTTTTTCATTTTAAAACCGCCGTAACTTTTGAAATCCTGGACGGATTTTCAAAATTTTTGGCAAAAATCATGACAAGGAGTTCAACTTTCGTATTCTATGAAATTTTTTTCCAAAATTGTCGCTTTTAACTTTTCGCAAAATTTCGAAATTTCGGGTTCGTCGAAAAAATGCTAAAAATATCTCAAAAATTAAAATTTTTTTATTTTTATTTTTTTCTCTAAAATTTCGACTTTTCTGATCATTTTAAGCATAAAATTTTAAGAATCCGACAT